TCTGTCTCGCTGAACTGCCGCACTTCTGCATCTACCTGGATCCTCCACTCATAACGAGCTTGCATATTTACCAACAGAACACTGCTGGTGCCAGAGGTTTGCGGCTCAAAAATATCCCAGGAGAAACAGCTGGCTATTACCACTTCAACTTTTTTATTTATTTATTTATTTATTTATTTATTTTTACTGTGTCCTGTCTGGCTGTGAAGCAAACAGAATTGATGTCTGAAAGCTGGTAACATGCCTTACAGATTTACTCTCAGGTGGAGCATCAAAGCGTCTGCTTTTAATGTCACGCCTGATACTTAAAACTTTATTGTTGTTGTTTTTGAATGCTTTGTAATTCCGACCAGACACGGAGTCAGAGGTGAAAGAGAAAGGAAAAGACAAAAGGTGGGGAGAAGAGGGGGAAGGGGAGGTGTTCCACAAAAATAAACAATAATTAACAAGAGTCTGCTTTTAGACCTGCAGAAAGAGAAAGAATAGAAGAAAAAAATGGGACACATAACAATACATCAGGAGCAAGCTATCACTGTGTCAACCTGATGGTGAAATATAAAATCAACATTGTTTAACTTAGGGCTGGGCGATATATCGATAATCTTTAAATATCGGTATAATTTTTAAACAAGATATAAGATGACTTTATATCTTTATATCGATAAAACTGGCCAAACTGCTATGCTAGCGATTAGTCGCTATGCTAGCGACATGTTGCTCCGTCTCTAAGCGGCTATTACGTGTATTCTCACAAGTTTGCTCAGTCTGAGAGCCTCTGGGTAAATGTGCTGCTCTAAACTTTGCATTTGGCCTCCTGGTTTTTAATTATTTGGGGACGTTCAATGCCAACGGAGTTCTGTTTTCCATCCTGCTTATGCGGAGAGACGAGCCAAACCCCTCCCTCCCCTGTGTAATGAGGAAACGGCTACGGAAAGCCGGAGTGGCCAAATGACCTGAAACATATTTAAGTGTTTGAATAGTAAACTATAGGGTTACCGTTTTATTTTGAAGGCGAACTCAACGGGTGAGAAATGTACCGGTTCCGTTTTTTTCCGCTCTGGTTTGCTATGCTAGTAAATACTCCGTTACGAGTGATTCTGATGAAAAAGTTGAGTTTGTAAGGTGTGGGTTATGGCGACAGTAGCCCGAAAACAACACTCATAAAAGAGCAACCAGAGACTCTGAATCATTATAGTATAATCGCTGATATGAGCCAACACTGCTAACTAATAACTAACAACTAGTTAATAACTAGTTTTTCTAATAACTAATAACTCCATCGTGATCCCATGTGATCTTCAGTAGATGCAATTACATTATCGTACATTTAGCTTAACATGATGGATTTTTTTTCTCTGGACAAGACCTATACAATATGGGCCACCTCTAGATGAAATTTAAATAATTTTACATTAATTATAAATATATAATTAAAAAGTGCCTGTGGGACATTTGATACACCTCTGGCTCTCAACTGTGTGTGTGTGTGTGTGTGTGTGTGTGTGTGTGTGTGTGTGTGTGTGTGTGTGTGTGTGTGTGTGTGTGTGTGTGTGTGTGTGTGTGTGTTAGCAGACAGCTGTACCTGTGTTACTAAAGCTCAGACTGGTAGAGAATAGGCACTATGGTTAAAGTTTAACCAGAATCAATACATTTTTATGCATTTAACCTACTGATTTATGTATATAATTTCTCAAGAGCTTGAAGTGAGTTAACTTGTCAACAGTTTACAGGAGGAAAAATATCAAGATATATATCGTATATGGGAATTCAGCTTAAAGATATCGAGATATAAGTTTTGGTCCATATCGCCCAGCCCTAGTTTAACTGAACAATCACACGATTATAAATCATAGTGCATTTAGTGGCAACGACAGCCTTAAGACATGCGTTGAACGTGCCCAAGTCCATACTTTTGAGAGCACCATGTGAGCACCTGTGTGTGTACACGCGCTTGTTTATGTAAGGTTTATCTATAGGAGCGTCCAATAGAGAGTGTGAGGGACCACAGATTTGCCCCCCAAAGATGCGTAAGAGACGGGGGGAGCTCCAAGTCCCAGAGATCCAGGCGCTGCCCCGGAACACAGGAACCCCAAGGAGACTGCAACCAGAAAGGCCCCCGCCAACTCGAGAGGCACAGAGGGTCGCCCCGGGGGGCCACAACCAGCAGCCGGCAGAGCCCCTGGAGATCTCAGCGGCAAGCCCACAGGCCCGCCCGCAGCCTCCCACCCCCTAGCCGGCCAAGCCTGGGACCCAGCGACCCGGGACCCAGGGGCGACCACCCCGCCGGGGGCCCAGCAGAGCCCAGGGACCCAGACCCCACCAGGCAGCCACCGGGATTGACCAGGCAGGCACCCAAGATCTTAAACCCACTGACCCGGGAGCCACGAACACTCAGGCAGACCAAGGCACCACACCCCACACCAGGTGTGGCAGGGGGAGGGGAGACGAAGATCTATATCATAAAAAGAAGTCGCAGGAGAACAGAGGAGTCAAAGGCCCCACCTGACATATACAGTCATACACAAACACAGTCACACACTCCCTCCCTCATGCTCACACATGCACATACAACCAAAGACTTACAAAAATGCACGCCGGACACCCACTCATGCTCCCCATACACACACTATTCACTCTGGTCCCGGTACTGCTGCACATTGGGTACAACCATTACCGGTTACCAGAGTTTGACCCTTTCTGCTGGGGTACTGATGAGCAGGTTCCCCCGCCCAATGCTGAGCACAGCAACCCACCACCCCAGACCCCAACCGGACGCCCAGATCTCCTTCCTAGCCTCCAGCCCCAGGAAGCCAAGCGACAACAAAGGTGTGCTTAGACCCCTAGCCTCCCTCCGCCGGCTCCAATATAGTGTTGTGTGTTGATGGGGTGTATTCCATGGCTGTGGTGAGCAGGCAGTGCGGGCATTGTCTGGCATACCACTTCAACTTTAGAACAAACTGGGCTGCATGGTGGCACAGTTGTTAGCACTGTTGCCTCGCAGCATGAAGGTTGCAGGTTCAAAACTCGGTTGCGGCCGTTCTGCATGGAGTTGCGTGTTCTCCCCATGCATGTGTGGGTTTCCTCTGGGTACTCCGGTTTCTCCCACAGATCACAACATGCCCTACAGGTTATAAATTGTAAGTCGCTTTGGATAAAAGCGTCTGCTAACTAAATAAACATAAACATAAACAAACTACCAGAGTCCCAAAAAGATACACACCATTTGAACTCATGGACAACTAAAGACGTTTGGACCTAAAAAACTGCGACACTCTTTTTTCTTCCGGGAGTGTGGATTTCTAGTTATGGCAGACGTGGCACAGGGGCGGTAGTTTTTTTTTTTTTTTTTTTTTTTTACAGGGACGGTAGTCGAGGGGAGGGGTGAGAGAATATTCTAATTCACTTTATTTTATTTTTTGTTCATGTTTTAGTTTAAATAGCATCAATTTGCATGTCCAGCAAGTCAACTTACTTTTTTTATTACAACCAAGCAAAAAGTCAATTTTCAGTTTTGGACGGTATTTGGATTACTGTTTATTACAATAGCCTTTCAGATATACAGTACATACCCTTGTTTAAGATATGCACTAAAACAATCGTCAGTATCGGTCAACAGCTACTCAGTGATACCAGCTTAATTTGTGATCAGCTAATCTGAAACTCAAGAAGAGACTGATTAATTTTTTGGAACAAAGGTTGCAAAATCTAAACATTTTTCCAGCCCATAAATGCACAAACACAAACCTCGGTTTTCCACCAAATGCGCAAGTTTTGCGTAAAATCCGAAAAGCACAAGCTACTTTGCTTCCACCGGCGACAAAGCGACACGCCTTGAAAGCGTTACAGAAGCGTTGTTTCTCGTCTCTTTGCTAGATTTATGCTTTGGGTCTACTTTTTGTCAAGCTCAACATTTCAGATCAGGCCAGACAGGAAGTCAAACATGAAAGCCATGTAAAAAACAAGAAACTTTCAAAATAAAAGACTCATACAGAATTCCACTTGCTTAAAAGAAATACATCATTACCTGTGAAACCTGTGTGGCCACTGGCCAAGGTAAAGGCAATCAGAAAATAAACCGCAGACCTTTTGGATACAAGCTGACATCTTTTTTTCTTTGCTTGTTATCACGTGAACTGCTGAAATCATGCGTGGTCTTACAATTCTCTGTTGCCTTCTTGACCTTGTGGGACCAGCTGTGTGAAACACTTTTGCTGTCAGTTTGAAATGCTCCTGGTGGGAAGAGGCGCAGGGAACACGCATCCATTACGTTATGTGCCGCTTACGCATCTGGTGAAAAACCCGGGTAAGCATTAATTCACTCAAGAAAAACCAGATCTTCCATGTGGAGTGATTTTTTTTAAATTATATATTTCATGTTAATCATTTTAAATAATAATAGTAAATCTGGTAATTATAGTACTTTGAGAAATCTAAATCTGCCAAAATAAGTATCGCCTGATCACATGTACAACATCAGAAATCTGTATTGGTTCACAAAATCAGAATTGGTGCATTTCTGCTCGTTTTGTTTCTTGTTTTTCTGCCTCATCATCAGAAAACCTTTTTAGTGTAATTTTGTGTCAAAAATATTCAAGTTTCTCTCATTAATATAGGAGTTAAATAAGCATGTCTATCTGTGAATACGTAAAGTTTACTTTCTTTTATTATAAAAACTGTTTGGGAATTTAATCAGGTTGGTGGTGAAGTCCCATCCAGCCTAACAGGGTACAGCCACTTCTGCAAAACTGGAAAAAAGTCACAGCTGTCTTTTTTATTTTTTTTTATTTTGTGAGTATAAATAAACAAATGACTGCAGATTAACTAACTTGCAGCTTTTAAAAAAGCAACATTCTGACCATAAAACTTTCAAAAGTTACATTTAATTGCTGTTTTTGATACTTTGATACTTTTTGATGATAGTTAACTGTGCAAAACTATGAAGCCTAACTCACCTAAATAGTACTTCATATTATTAGTGTAACCACAGGAAGATAGTTTACCTTTGATACTAATTCCCAGTCCTCCCACATCTTGCTTGGTAATGCGAACGGTGCGCTTCACGTTGGTGATGGTTTCCGGGACCGAGGACGAGCTGAGGTTCGGGGGGTCTCCGTTGACAGCACCTGCGGGACTCGGAGCCGGCTTCGCGGGCTCCTCGACGCCTTCTCCGGGGTTGACGGTGAGTGTGTCCTCGGTAAGTGTCGCCAACACCCGGACCCAGCGGTCCACGCTCAACCGAAGTTCCAGGAGTCCCGTTTTCTGCGCCTTCATCGCGGCGGCCATGTTCAGTGTTCAACACATTCCTGGAATAACTCTAGACGGGCTGGCTGTCCTGTAGAGGGGGGCTGGGGTAGGGGGCACGCGCGCGGAGGCACACACACACTGGCGCGCGCGCGGTCTTTGCTTTCTATTCCTTCATTCAGTGGCAAATAAAGTTATCTGTTCTACACACTCAAAGATCAGCCTATATGAACAGAGTGTGGTTGAGTCATTAAAAACTGTTATTTATTGTATCTGTTTATTTTTTTATTGATTTATTCAGTTTTCCTCCAGAAAGAAAATGAAATCAGTTTGGAGCTGATACACGGAATCTCTGATTAAACAATCCAGAAAGTTTGTACACATCAAGGTTTGCCGTCATAGCGAATTAAAAGTACACAAGCTCTGTCTTTGTTTACATTTAAACATCTGTTGCTTTAAATGTTTGAGGGGGAATAAAAACTCATATTGGAGCAATTCAGTAGGAGTGTTGACCCCACAGAAGACAATGAGTACAGACACTATTTATCATCAACACACTCATGTTTTGTGTTTATTATTGAAGCAAAATCATGGTTTTTAATAAGATGTGTTTGGGGTTGCAGCTGTTTGGTCTTATAAACTATTAACTTTTGATAGACGTTTGTCTTGCCCACTCATTGTGATTCAGCACAGGGACACACATTTCTGCAGACTTGACAACATAAATGACTCAATGCTACAAGCTGATGGAACCGTGTGTTTTTGCTACTCTTTTGATTTGCAAACTAATCTCCCAGCTCTTCGGCTGTGTGTGTGGCAGGCAGCACGAGTTCATCTGTCTCACAGCAGGTGGAACAGCAAAAAAGTTCCAGCATCCAGTTTTAGCGAATACTTCTGGGTGGGCTGTTGAGTTTACTGTTTCTTAGCACATCTTTACCAAACCAAAACAGCTGATTAAGCTGGCGTGCACACATTTTAATTATTTGTCCTATTACAGTGGATCCAGGTTTCTGCTCTGGAAATAAAAATTTACCACCGAAATTGGTGAATTTATCACATACTGCTACAGGTTTATCAGTCTTCTGTCGCTCCCTAGTGGGTGGATTGGTTTGTTACATCAAAACAGCCGAATGTATGCATAAATCAAATTTTAGATTCTTCAAAACACTATAACACAAAACCATTGAATGATATTGTATTTTCTTCAAAAGAGAGAATGAGCAGTGAGAATGTCGGATTAAAGTTAAAATTAGAATGCTGTTACCCCTGATATTTCATTGCATATTCTTATAACAACACATACTGTCTTAAGATGTTATTAAGGGATAAATCAATTTAATCTGTCAGGGCATCGGATGCATCACAGTAATAAGGTCAAAATGCCATTAAGGCACATAAAATGTTTGCATATCTAAGTCAAATGTAAAAAGGAGAATTGCATTGTTCATGTTGATATTAGCAAATGTTTTATCATCATTTCAATACACGTGTCTGGTAATGATGGAGTTTTTTGTTTTGTTTACTTTGATGGGGCCATAGGCTGAGAATACCTAAGACACAATGTGAGTGTAATGAGATAATATCCATACTAATAAAGAGCAGAACAGTTGATTAATGCTCTTTTTAATGCTAATATAAATGAATATAGCTATAAAATATTCAATATTTTTTTTCCTTAAACACAAATTTAAATTGTTTTTTCACTAGATTTTTATTTCTTTTTAGCATTTTCCAGGAAAAGACTATAAATTGATATTTCACACATAGATATGAATGTGTAGAGGTAGAGCTTTATTTTATTATATTTATATTTTAGCTATCATACCATGCAATATGTCTGATTTTGTAAATAAAAAATAAAAGCATAGTTAAATGTGTTTTTTGTAGTTGGGTAAATGCATTCCTCAGTATTAAATGCACCGGGGTCGAATGGAGACCCATCCAAGATGGCGGTGGCCACTACGGCAGTTCCAGTCCACGGAGCATCAATGTATATGATGTCTGATTTCACACCCCATTTCAGCCTTTCAGGTGCAATTTTTAAGACTGACATCCTGTGGTTACTACAGTGGATTTTTTAAAACTAAAATATTACTCTCTCACTCCCATTCCGTGATTTTCATGGCTGTTGCCAGTTACGAATTAGCACCAGAAGATTCTTGTTGACAATCAAGTACAAGTCATGCTCAGTAAGTTGATAAGTTAAAAAGTACATTGTTATTGCTGGTGTTAGCACTTTTGGGTGTTTTCCTTAGGGAGCACTTACTACACTTTTTACGGTAGTTAGTCTCTGCATTAGAGGAAGTTGCTGTTCTACTCATTAATTGAAGTAAAACTCCATGATTAACTCATTATTCACTTCACACATACATTTCAACGTAGTATTGGGTTGTTGGTAATTGAAAAAGTAGCTTAAGATATTTTTACAGCCACCTATTTACTTGTAATTCAATGTTAGCATTGTTGGCTCAATATTAAATGATAAATGACCCGCACTTGTATAGCGCCTTTCAGAGTCAAATGACTCCAAAGCACTTTACACTACAGTGTATCATTCATCCATGCACACACACATTCACACACTGGTGGTGACGAGCTACAACGTAGCCACAGCTGCCCTGGGGCGCACTGACAGAGGCTGTTTCATCTGCTGTGAGGCAGATGAACTGCTGCCACACGCAGCCAAAGAGATGGGAGATTAGTTCAAGTGGTGCTCGCTGCAGAACCACAAAGGCGGAGCTGCACCAGAAGGTGGAGCTGCACCAGAGTCAGCCCCACCCATTCCAGAATAAGCCCCGCCCATTCTATCAGAGTCAGTCCAATTCCTTCCAGTTGTCAGACTTTATAGCATTCTGGAACCAAAGAGGGTGTTATAGCTAAAAAATGCAGGATTGGGGACGGAGTTGAGAAGTGAATTGAACAGTTTTTGTAAAGGTTCCATATAATTAAAAATCTAACTTTTGGAACTTTTAATCATGTTATATTGTCATTTCCTCATACGAAACACGCCAAAGCCATTTTTGGCCTCATTCATGCAGTTTCTTCCCATCTCAGCTTCAATTTGGTCTCCTCCCCCGAAGCGGGTCTGGTCTTGGTTCTCAAATCTGGATATTCTGTGAATTTTCTGACAAATTATTTCTGAAATGACTTCTACTGAGACACCGCCAGAAAAATCATACATCCCGTCTACAAAGACACACTGGATGGCACGATAACATGCAACGCCACACAAGTATTATAAGTTGGGTGGTGTAGTGGTTATGGTGTCAGGTTGACATGCAGTTTTGCACAGGTTCGCCTCCCAGTAGTGTAAATATTCTATAACCCCTTTTCCTCATTTCTAGCTACACTTGCCAGTACTATGTTTACAACAATTTATTGGTATGCCGTTTAACATATAATGACTAATGTGTTTTTTTATTTATTCATTCGTTTATTTAGCCAGTGTGAGTCCATTTGTGAGCAGAGTTTCAACTAAAATGCTGTTTAGGAACGACCAAATTCAAAGAACTTGTAGAGACATAAATATTTTGCTGAAAATGAACATTACAACTAAAATATGAACAAATTAAATGTTTCAGCTGGCAAAATAGATTGTTGCCGACCCCACCGAGAACCGAACCAGCATCAGCTGAGGGGAAAGCAAAACTTAAGTCAAACAATCTTGCCACTGGACTACCAGAACTCACATAATAATAATATCAAATGTTGTCGTAGAGGACTTTTGTTGGAGCGGCTGTGGGCAGATATTCGCTAAAAGAAACCTTTTCATTTCGGGATATATTCAGACTTTGTCATGTAGCAAGTTATATTTATCTTGTTTAATTGGAGCACAGAACATAGCATTAACGACTGTAAACTAGTAACAGCCGTAATTCATGAGAGTCAGGTTAGTTTGCGATAAAGTTGAAAAACAAAAACGGAAGTCAGTGGGCTAGGCTGAGTTTGCGTGAATGGGCGGGGCTGACTCTGGTGCAGCTCCACCTTATGGTGCAGCTCCGCCTTTGTAGTTCTGCAGCGAGCACCCTCTCGATTAGTTTGCAAATCAAAAGAGTAGCAAAAACATATGGTTCCATCAGCTTGTAGATTTGCTAGCCTTTAGCCTGCTTCTGGGTCGTTCCTGTTTACTGACTTTGGTTCTTTAAACAACTCTTTAAATAACTTTGGAGATTTTGCCTGCCGGTGTTGAGATAAACTTGCCTGTGCTGCTGCGTTAGCTCGCTGCACATCTTAGGTGTGTTCTTGCTGTGTCGTATCTCTAATTCCATGCTGTAGCTCTTTTTTAAAACACAGAGCAGTTTTGTTTACCTGTTTTCCCGCTATGTTTCGTTTGCGGCTGCAAACTTCCTCAGGCTGACGCTGATGGTGGCGTCACTTCCTTCTCCGTTTATCCGCGGGCAGCAGAGGACGTTGTCGCCCTCTGCTGCCCGCTCTCCCCTCTCCGACGATGCAGTCCCATACGCGGTCCAACGTGTAAACTCCATCGTCCCTGTTCATGGTCCCACATCCACGTCTCCTTATCTCGATTGCTTCTTTTATCCATCTTTTGTATTTTTGTTGTTCGGTGTTGATGATCCTTGTGTTGTCCCAGTCCATTATATGGTTTTCTCTTATGCAGTGATCTGTTACTGCTGACTTCTTTATTGTGCTTTCTGCTTCATCTTTTGCTGCTCTTGTGTGTCTTCCACTTGCCTCTTTCTCACACTCCTTTCTATGTTCTATTATTGGTGTGTTGAGTTGGCATCCAGTTTCTCCTATGTATGTTTTATTGCAGCATTTGCATGGGAATGCGTAAACGACTCCACATTTATGTCCAGCTGATATTTTGTCTTTTGGGTGTACTAGTCTGTTTCTAACTCTTGTGTATGGTTTTGTTGGTGTGTTTATGTTGTGTTTTTTCATTGTTGCTCTTATTTTTTCTGTTATGCCTTTAATGTATGGTAAGGTTATCACTGGTTTTGGTTCTTGTCTTTCTGGGTTTCTGGTTCTTCGCTTTGGTTGTTCTTTTCTTTCTATTGTTGTTTGTTGTTTTCCTTTGTTTATTGCCCATGTCGGGTATCTGCAGGCCTTTAAAGCATGTTGTATGTGTTTGTCCTCTTGTTTACGGTCTCTT